TGGTCAATTGGCTGCACAACTCCATCGCCAAGAACGTCTTCGACGTCGTCTACAAGCCCCGCGCCTCTGCCTTCACCGTGTGGAGCGACATCGAAGGCGTCTTCCGTGACAACGCCGTCCAACGGTCTGTCTACCTTGAGACCGAGTTCCGCTCGATCAATCAAGGTGACATGACCATCACGCAGTACACCGCCAAGCTGAAGCAACTCGCCGACGGCCTCCGCGACATCAACATGCCCGTGTCTGAGCCCAGCCAGGTGCTCAACCTCCTGCGCGGCCTCAACACCAAGTTCCGCTCCCTCCGCGCCAGCTTCGCCGACCGGAATCCGCCACACACTTTCATGACCGCGCGCTCCTACCTGCTGCTGGCGGAGCTCCAGATGCAGCACGACGCCAAGGCTGAAGCCGGGGAGGCCCTCTACGCCGGCACCGGGTCTTCCTCCGGCACCTCCGACACCACCGGCCAGCCTCGTCCCAAGGGACGGGGCAAGCGTCGTGGCCGGGGCGGCGGCGCCCCACCTGGCGGCGCTCCTTCGACTCCTGGCGGCGGCGCTGGTGCCGGGCACGACGGCCAGCCTCGCCCTCCTGCGCCTTGGGGCTACAACCCCTGGACAGGCTTTGTCCAGGCCTGGCCTTTCCCGTTCCGGGCTCCCGGCGCGGGTGTGTTGGGCCCTCGCCCGCCGTTCCAGGCCCAACAGGCCATGACCGCGCAGCACCTGCTTCCGGCTCTTCCTCCGGCATCTCCAGGAGTTCAATCCACCGGCGCCTGGGACAACAGTGCGCTCTACAGCGCCTTGCAGTCCGCCGGCGTCGCCACCACCACTCCTCCGAGCGCTGCGGATTGGTTCCTCGACACCGGTGCGTCAGCACATATGTCCTCCACCCCTGGTATTCTTGCTCATCCCCGTCCTCTTCCTTTCTCCTCTTGTATCACTGTCGGCAATGGTGCCAAGCTGCCTGTCACGCATACAGCTTCCACCCACATTCCCACATCCTCCACTGATCTACACCTTCATAACGTGCTTGTTTCTCCTCCCTTGATTAAGAATTTGATCTCTGTGAAAAAGCTAACTCGTGATAATAATGTCTCCATTGAATTTGATCCAACTGGTTTCTCCATCAAGGATCTTCAAACTCAGGTGGTGAAGCTCCGCTGTGACAGCCCGGGTGACCTGTACCCCCTGCGTCTGCCATCGCCACACGCCCTCTCTGCGACTTCCTCGCCGTCGGTGGAGCATTGGCATCTGCGGCTCGGGCACCCTGGCTCTGCTTCCCTGTCCAAGGTTCTTGGTTCCTTTGATTTCCAATGTAATAAATCAGCCCCCCATCACTGTTCTGCTTGTCATGTAGGCAAGAATGTGCGGCTTCCTTTCCACTCTTCATCTAGTCAGACTCTATTTCCCTTTCAGTTAGTGCATACAGATGTTTGGACCTCTCCCATTTATAGCAATTCCGGTTACAAGTATTATGTGGTATTTCTTGATGATTTTACACACTATATTTGGACCTTTCCTGTTCGCAATAAATCTGAGGTGTTTCATACTGTTCGTTCCTTCTTTGCTTATGCACACACACAGTTCGGGCTCCCCGTTTTAGCTCTGCAAACTGACAATGGCAAGGAATACGATTCTTATGCACTTCGCTCACTCCTGTCTCTCCACGGAGCTGTTCTTCGCCTCTCCTGCCCCTATTCCTCTCAACAGAATGGCAAGGCGGAACGTATCCTCCGGACGATCAATGACTGCGTGCGCACAATGCTTGTTCACAGCGCTGCTCCTTTGTCTTTTTGGGCTGAAGCCTTGCAGACGGCGACGCATCTGATCAACCGACGGCCATGCCGCGCCACGGGCTCCCTCACGCCGTACCAGCTGCTGCTCGGCGCTCCCCCGACGTACGATCATCTTCGCGTGTTCGGCTGCCTCTGCTACCCCAACACCATCGCGACAGCGCCGCACAAGCTCAGCCCGCGATCCCTGGCGTGCGTCTTCATCGGCTACCCGGCTGACCATCGTGGCTATCGCTGCTACGACATGGTCTCCCGCCGGGTGTTCACGTCGCGCCACGTCACGTTCGTCGAGGACGTGTTCCCCTTCCGCGACGTGCCATCGCCTCGCCCGTCAGCTCCTCCGCCACCGGACCACGGCGATGACACTATTGTGCTGCTGCCTGCTCCAGCACAGCACGTCGTCACACCTGTCGGCACCGCCCCAGCTCACGACGCCGCATCGCCTCCGTCGCCCGCGTCGTCCACGCCCAGCAGTGCTGCTCCGGCCCACGACGTCGCGCCGCCTCCATCACCCGAGACGTCGTCGCCAGCGTCCGCCTCTCCACCTCGACACGCCATGACGACGCGTGCGCGGGCTGGGATCAGCAAACCCAACCCGCGGTACGCCATGACTGCCACGTCGACCCTGTCGCCGACACCTTCGTCTGTTCGCGCGGCGCTCCGGGATCCCAACTGGCGCGCGGCGATGCAGGCTGAGTTCGACGCCCTGCTCGCGAACAGGACGTGGACTCTGGTTCCCCGGCCTCCCGGTGCTCGGATCATCACCGGCAAGTGGGTCTTCAAGACCAAGCTTCATGCTGACGGCTCACTCGACAAGTACAAGGCACGTTGGGTGGTTCGCGGGTTTAACCAGCGCCCGGGCGTCGACTTTGGCGAGACATTCTCGCCCGTCGTCAAACCAGCGACCATTCGCACCGTGCTGACGCTGATTTCCTCCAAGCAATGGCCGGCGCATCAACTGGACGTTTCAAACGCGTTCCTGCACGGCCATCTTCAGGAACGTGTCCTGTGCCAGCAGCCCACAGGCTTTGAGGATGCTGCTCGCCCGGCGGACGTGTGCCTCCTCTCCCGTTCGCTGTACGGTCTTCGTCAAGCCCCGCGCGCTTGGTTCAAGCGCTTCGCCGATCATGCAACCAGCCTCGGCTTCGTCCAGTCCCGCGCCGACCCCTCCCTGTTCGTGCTGCGCCGTGGCTCCGACACGGCCTACCTCCTCCTCTACGTCGACGACATGATCCTCTCCGCGTCCTCGTCGAGCTTGCTGCAGCGCATCATCGATCGCCTTCAAGCGGAGTTCAAGGTCAAGGACATGGGGCCCCTGAAGTACTTCCTCGGCATCGAAGTTCAGCGCACTGCCGACGGGTTCGTCCTCAGCCAGTCCAAGTACGCCACCGATGTCCTCGAACGTGCAGGCATGGCGAACTGCAAGGCCGTGGACACTCCGGCGGACGCTAAACCCAAGCTGTCAAGCGACGAGGGGCCTCTCTTCCAGGACTCCTCCTGGTACCGCAGCATTGCCGGCGCTCTCCAGTACCTGACCTTGACGCGGCCCGACATCGCCTACGCCGTCCAGCAGGTGTGCTTGCACATGCATGCTCCGCGCGAAGCTCACGTCACCCTGCTGAAGCGGATCCTGCGCTACATCAAGGGAACGGCCGCGTTTGGCTTACACCTTCGCGCCTCGACGTCGCCGACGCTCACCGCCTTCAGCGACGCAGATTGGGCCGGCTGCCCCGACACCCGGCGTTCCACGTCCGGCTTTTGCATCTTCCTCGGCGACTCCCTCATCTCCTGGTCGTCCAAGCGGCAGACGACCGTCTCGAGGTCAAGTGCGGAAGCCGAGTACAGAGGTGTGGCGAACGCGGTGGCGGAGTGCACTTGGTTGCGCCAGCTGCTCGGTGAACTCCACTGCCGCGTTCCACAGGCGACGATCGCTTACTGTGACAACATCTCCAGCGTCTACATGTCCAAGAATCCGGTGCACCACAAGCGGACCAAACACATCGAGCTCGACATCCACTTCGTCAGGGAGAAGGTCGCGCTCGGTGAACTCCGCGTCCTACCGATACCGAGTGCCCATCAGTTCGCGGATGTGTTCACAAAAGGGCTTCCTTCAAGCATGTTCAACGAGTTCCGAGCCAGTCTCTGCGTCGGTGATACGACGGCTGCGACTGCGGGGGGGTGTTGGCGAACGGCTTCGTCAGACTCTCGAGGCGCGCTCCACGCGCACGACGCGCACCCCGCGCACGACGCCGCGCTCCTCGCTCCGCTCGCACCGCTGCACGTCCCTTAGATCAGGGGATTAGTTAGGCCCAGGCAACTCCCAAGCCTTGTTGTACATGTATAAATATAAGCTCCATTGATCAATGAAAGTTACGGTTGATCCAAATCTCCTTCTACACTCAGACCCAAGAGCCTTTCCGTTTCCAGTGTATGCAGGCGCATGTCTGTGTTTTCAGTACCGTATAGTTACTGCTTTCCCTAAAATGTTGAATCTAGGTAATAACAAATTCACTGGTGTGATCCCGATGGAGATTGGTGAGTTGAAAGCACTCGTTTCACTCGACTTGAGCTTCAACAACCTAAACAGGGAGATCCCACAATCGATCAGCAACCTCAAGAATCTGATGGTTCTAGACCTGTCATACAACCATCTGACAGGTGCAATCCCTCCAGCACTGGTGAACCTTCACTTCCTTTCTGAATTCAATGTTTCCTACAATGATCTAAAAGGGTCTGTACCAATTGGAGGCCAGTTCAGCACATTTCCAAGTTCTAGTTTTGCTGGAAACCCAGAGCTATGCAGCCCGATGCTTTTGCACCGTTGCAATGTAGCAGAAGCAGATTTGTCTCCCCCAAGCTCAAAAAAAGATTACATCAACAAGGTCATCCCTGTGATTGCTTTTTGTGTATTCTTTGGAATTGGAGTGCTATATGATCAGATAGTTGTATCTAGATATTTTCGGTTAAACCGATTACGATAGAGAAAGTCAATAACATGTACTGGATTAATGGCTTGTAGATATGGAATGGGCCATAGAAATGAAACAAGCAAAGCAACAGCTGCGACTTTGTGATTACTATAACCGTCTTAACTGTGTGGTGATCTCGAGTGGTTCCACCCCCATCAGGATGAATAGTTGAATACCCAGGAAAAGCTGATTTGACCAGCTCGTGATATGTTCGTAAAATTCAGTTAATACAGTCTGCTCCAAAGTAGAAAATCAGAAGGAACTGAAGTAAACTGAAACCTGCCAGTACATAAATCTTGACAATATTACACATGAATGTAAACGTTCTTGTATTAATTTGTGGCTATATTCCAACAACTATCTCTGCAATTTGCTGTGAGGGGATCACAATCTGCAACTAGTGAAACAGCAATACTGAATTGAGAAAATGTCATAAATCGTTGCAGACAAAAAAAACTCATGCCGCGCCACATCCCAAATCTGACATGAAGCGGCTACTCTACGCAATCCTTCCTTCTAACTAGACCTTTGTAGAATCTACATCAGCAAATCAATCTAATCAAGAGGAGGCGGCTGCAGAGAGAACAGCGACGCGATTGTTCACCGGCCGGCTACGGGGGGTTTTGATTCCTCCCGCTTCCTGGCGCCGCGGCTCGAATCAAGGAGGGAAAGAGACATGGCTAACCTCACCTCGAGGTTTCCGCTCCTCGATCGCCGCGGCGCCGTCCTCTCGCTTCGCCGGATGCTCTCGCTTGCCCAACTCATGGACTCCATGGTTGGGGAGAAGGTGGCGGCGGCTCAGGCGGAGAGGAGGGAAACGGAGTGCCACGCTAATACAGGGGCTACGTTGTAAAACTTCCTGGCCGTAAACAAAAATCGCGATGATGAAAGAAGGGCCAAAATGAAAACTACCAATTCGTTAGCATTGGTAATAGTACGGTTAGAGAGTCGAGCTAAGAAAATACATAGCAGATGTGGTTTTTCTCTAAAGTTTCAACTCCCCAAACAATTAAGAGCAAATATAATAGAACGATATTAGCCAACGATATGTGTGCCACGTTGTTTTTTTCGATGATTTGGAGAAGAAAGGCGGGATGAGAGAGAGAGAGAGAGAGCAAACAGGCGACTAAATAGTCGCCGACTATACACAGGCTCTAAAAAACTTAGGTGTCATCAGCAGGCATGCTGACGCCACGTGGTCCTGTGCGATCAAACGTGCGGACGATCACTTGAAGATTAGGCCAACCATGGAGGGGAGAGAAGCGCGAAGGTCCATGGCAACAACATTGGAGGAGGTGCTCTTGAGCATAGAAACAACCAGCTCAGCCCACTCGCTGTCGAGCTCGACGACGGCATCGAAGGAGGCTCTCGAGCTCGGCCGCGTCATCTCCAGCTTAGCTGTACCACGCTCGGTATGCAAGAGTTCTATTGCAATGTTTTAATTTGTTGCTAGCTAGAAGCTAAGCTCATGGTGAAAACACTAGCAAGTGAAAGAAGAAAGAGAAAGGTGAACAACTTGGAGAGAAAGGGGAATAAAGTATGCTTTGTATTGGAGAATGTGTCGTACAATAGCGTTAACGACCAAATTTAGGTTTTTCGCATCAACAAATAGCTGATGAAGAAATTATTGCATTGACGTCTATAACTAAGATGGAAGACTACAAGAGTAAGCAATGGGCGACACTATTAACCTTGCTCTAATAGTTGTAGAATCTAAGCCAGATTCTAAGAATTTATAATTGTAAAATCTAGAAAATGAATAAAAAGTTAAAATTTGAGTTTTAGCTATCTAAATTCTCAGAAACTGGATATTAACCGGCTGCTTATTAGAATATTATATTCCTCCAAATAGAGTCTAATAGTTTACTATGGAATAGTTACTTATAAATATATACTACTCCTACATCATTAATACCCAATCCATCTCTCATTTACACAGTGTCTTCCCCTATAGCTAGCTATAAATTTGGTGCCCTTAATTATTCACTCTATTCTCTTCACCATGACACCATCTAAATATAAGTTTTATGTGACAATTTTCCAAGCCTGCTTATATAAGTACTTTCTCTAGTAGTTGCCTGAAAGACTGAAGGAAGGGTATAAAAATACAGATCCGGAACAAAGCACGGAATCTGACATGCTTTAGACAGAGTAATTCTGGAATATGCATATACAAGACTGTAACATAGAATTTTCACACCAACTTTATTGAAATTTCGTAGAAAACAACGAAGGGATATATATGAAAACTTGAAGGCACAAAGTTTGTTCAACCATGCAAACGCAAACGAATTTCAGTAGCCCAACCATGCACGCAAACATGTTATATACCTGCTTCAGTTTACTCTTTCAGTAACCCAACCAACCATCTCTCAAGAGAGAAAAAAAAGTAATGCAATTAGAGCAAATGGATTGTTAGGGTAGATTACGAAAATGCAAATGATAGAGAGAGTAATGAGATTATTAGCAGCGGGCCGGCAGTGTACGTCACAATCATGGTAAAAGAAACCAGAATTTAACAAGCCGTGTTATAATATAAAAGCGTGTTTCAAGAGGCCAGGTGTATGGTGAGGAAATTTACTTGGTCCAATAAGCGTTGTCAATGTCAAACAATATTTTTTTTAATTAGGGTATAATGTCAAACAATCTGGGACTCACATCATGTCGGCAAAAAGGAAATGAGAGAGGAAAAACCCTAGGAATAGCACCAAGTGACTAGGGAGATAGCGGAAAGTAAACTCATAGGTCAACACTCCATCAACTTGTAAATCTTCGATGCATCGACAATATACAATATTCGTGCGTGCGTATTATTCTTTGTCATAACTATTTAAATTTTGGTAGGTGAAATTATATACCCCATAACTTTATCACTATAAATTAAATAAAATTCATGCGTTTAAAAGAATCCCTAAAATAATTTCACTATGGAATCATAGTTCCGATCGAGGAACTGAATATCAAAACGTCAAGATATGCCTTATGCCGGGTCGTAGCATATTAATATGATAGATTTCTCATACATGCCTCTACTTTTTTCTAAAAAAAAATATAAACACATACATATATATATATACATACGTGCATATTCACCTCTATAAACTAATAAACATATATACACACTTATAATATCTATGAGAATCTTCGAAAAATTGAGTTAGCATAATTTGAGACTGACAAAATCATCCCGGGCAACTTACTCTTGTCAACTGAAAGAATATTTAGCGGCAAATATTAGTATCCATATCAAGTCTAAGACTTGAACCCGAGCAAGTTAATTCCACCATTACAAACCTAGCTAGCAGTTTGCCACGTCTCCTTTTTTTTTTTGGACTGCGCACATTTGTAGTGATCTGAAATTATAAAATACAAACCCGGAACGAGAGCCGAAGCGATCTGAGATAATATCAGACTTTAGACATAGTAAATCTGGAACATGCGAATCCAAGAGCTGTCTGTGACATAGAAATTTCACACAAACTTTTATGAAATTTCATAGAAGCAACAATCGCAAGAATTTGAACTGAAAAATAAATGAAAGCAATATACTACTAGTGGACAGCACTATAGCAGTACAGGAGTACAGGCTTTGTAAAGGATTGGATTTGGAAAGCAAACAACACAACCTTTTCTTGAAACTTAAGGCTTGATCAACCTTTACAAATGTTACTTGAAACTTGAAGGGTTGATCAAATTTTGTTCAACCATGCAAGTGCAAACGCATTCCACCACCAGCAGCAGCACACAAACATGTAACCTGCATCAGTTAAACTTTTAGCAGTGTAGCCAAACCATTTCAAGTTTTTTTAAAAAGAAGTATGTAACCAATGTAGGTTGATGTTTCGATTGCTGCAAATGATTATTACAAGCCAAGAGCAGTCAAAAGTCACAAGTGAGTTATTGGTGACGGATTCAAAATGCAGCTGCTTGAAGTGATAAAAGATCACAAGCACAAAGTGTACGCCATATCTCCCTCTAGAGCGGGAAAAAAAAGAATATAAAAGGAAATCAGTAGTGGCCAAAGACCTGGACTATGACTCTGAGTAAACGAATGGAGAATTTAACAAATTCTAATCAAGTAGCCATCTAGCTGTACGAGGAAAAATCCAATTTAAGTGGAAGCTCTCCTGTCAAGCATCATGAGCCAAAACACAAGATTGGTAAGAGAAAACGGCAATAGTTGGACTGAACTTCCAAAACACAAGCATGGCACCAAGCAGATAGTAGTGAGCTTAGGTAGGGTAGCAGCAAAGTGAACTCACAGGTCAACACACCACCAGATTATATAACTCTTCGATGCTTCGACAATATAATATAATGCTCAGGAACCGTGTGGTTCGGCATAAATCAAGCTCACTACTACTACTACTACCAGCACATCAGTTTCCAAACCAGCTTAATTCAGATACTGACCATGAACAATCCAATAATACTTCATTCTTCCTACAGCAACAGATCATCCAGCAGGTTTTGCACTCATTTCCTTTGCCTTCTTCTTGTGCTGATACTCTTTGCTTCTCCGGCCAGCTCCTGCACAGAGGAGGACAGGAGCTCCCTCCTCCGCTTCCTCGCCGGGCTGTCACACGACGGCGGCCTCGCTGCGTCGTGGCGACCGGACGTCGATTGCTGCCACGCCTGGGAGGGCGTCGTCTGTGACGACGAAGGCACGGTCACCGAGGTTTCCCTGCAGTCTCGAGGACTCCATGGAAGCATCTCACTGTCGTCCCTCGCCGGTCTGACCAGCCTGACACGTCTCAACCTCTCTCATAATGCTCTCTCCGGTAGCCTTCCACCGGAGCTCATGTACTCTGCGAGTCTGGTTGTTCTCGACGTCAGCTTCAACAGCCTCGACGGAGTGCTACCGCCATTGCCAATGTTGATGACTGGCTTGAAGCATCCTCTGCAGTTGCAGGTGCTCAACATCTCGACCAACAATTTACATGGTGAGATCCCGGAGTCCATTGGTCAGCTCAAGAAGCTGGAAGTGATTAGGTTGAGCAACAACAACATGTCAGGAAATCTACCATCGAGTCTCGGAAACTGCACACGTCTCACAACCATTGATCTGAAGATGAACAGCTTCAGTGGAGACCTTGGCAGTGTTGACTTCTCTTCCCTACACAATCTGAGAGCCCTGGATCTCCTGCATAATGACTTCAGTGGTGTAATACCAGAAAGCATATACTCATGCAACAATTTGACTGCGCTGCGGCTATCGTCCAACCAAATTCATGGTGAGATCTCATCAAAAATAGGTGATCTCAAGTACCTTTCTTTCCTGTCAATTACTGAAAACTCTTTCAGTGATATTGCAAAGACACTCCATGCTTTCAAGAGCTCCCGGAACCTCACTACCCTGTTTATTGGGGAGAATTTCTGGGGTGAGGTTATACCACAAGATGAGACAATTGAAAGTTTAGAGAGTATTCGACATCTCTCAATTTATCGTTGCTCATTGATCGGAAACATACCTCTTTGGCTATCAAAGCTAAAAAATTTGGAGGTACTAGATTTATCCAACAATCAACTTACTGGGCCAATGCCGAGTTGGCTCAACTCCTTCAACAACCTCTTCTATTTGGATGTATCAAACAACAGCCTTACAGGACAAATACCAGCCACCTTGATAGAGATACCCATGCTAAAATCAGATGATTACAAAGCTCATCGAACAATACTATTTGATCTACCTGTGTATGTAACCACTCTATCGCGACAATACCGTGCAGTCACATCTTTCCCTGCACTCTTGAATCTTAGTGCTAACAGCTTTACCAGTGTGATTCCACCCAAGATTGGTGAGCTGAAAGCTCTTACTCATCTTGATTTCAGCTCTAACCAATTACAAGGAGAGATCCCACCATCTATCTGCAATCTCACAAACTTGCAGGTGCTGGACTTGTCCAGAAACTACCTCACTGGCCCAATACCTGAAGCACTAAACAAGCTCAACTTTCTCTCAAAGTTCAACATTTCTG